ATACAATGAAGCATTTACCTTTCTAAAGAAGCAATAGAAATAAAACAAACATATGCATTATTTGTAGATGAATCACGGTGAATATCATTTGAATGGTTTATTCTACTTTTTAAGTCGATAATATTCTAATTAGAATGAATTACCAACACACATGAATATAGTGAAGTCACGTATAACCATTTATGGCTAATCCAGTTCAATTCTTTGCCTTCGATGCGCGATCACGTATTTCAGGCTTGTAGGCCCCTTTCCTTGCGCTTCGTCTCCCACGAAACACTTGTACTCATCTTTCATCAGTACTTGGGGAGGAAAGTGGAAAACTGGGACTAAAAATTCAAGAAGTGTTTGTCGGTGCTTTATGTGTCACTGGGCCGTCGCATTCTCAATAAGCGCGTCTCTTTCTCTCTTACTCCCTCTCTCTGTCTTTGCATGTGTGAAACGTCTACGATACGGAGGCCGTATGAGAGGAACGAAGGTCAAGGTGCAAGATACTATCGCACGCTATACCGACAGCCTTGAGGATTACTACTGATGCATTGTGAATTACGATCGTGATACCTGCGTCGGTATCCATGACAGTGTACCCGCATTCAAATAAGGTAACTGTGTAAAAGATTGGGGAGGCATCTAGCTTTCTCTCGAGGTAATGCATTTTCTTTAGGATAAAATAATCAAACATATTATTAATAGGCCCTTGAATAACATTATAAGTATGAAAATTATTTTATCAACATATTTCATTAATATTTATAATAAATAATTTCCCATTCTTAATAATATTTATCTAATTGAAGTTGCACACTAATTATTGAGATTACCACTCAATATAAAATAGGTCAAATTTTATTAAAATTAAGATATAATAGACATTATATATATATATATATATATATATATAATAAAATCGTAACGAAAATATTTTAAATATTATTTAACAAAAATTATAAATTTTCAATATATTGCAAACTTCTTAGCTGTGTTGGGAAATTAGTATTTTGTAAAAGAAATTTGTGTATATGAAATGCTTGAAAATATAAAATATATTACACAACGAATATATTCAGTATTTTATAACTATTTTTATATTTTTAATTAATTAATGAATTATTTGGTTTTATTTATAAAAATTTTCTACACTATTAGTTTTTAGTAATAAAGTTAACAAGTATTATTTTTTATTTTCTTTACATTTTAACAATTGACTTAAGACAGATTTGGATTTGATTTGTACGTTAATTAATAGCTAGGAGATTTTTATATCATTTTTATTAAACATATATATTATATATTGTTATGTATATTTATCTTATTTATATATATATATATATATATATATATATATATATATATATAACTTTCATAAATTATATTCTTTTATATAATATTGTCATTCATCCTTATCCATATACAATAAAGTTGACTCAACACACGAGAGTAAGCTGACAAAAATAAAAATCTTAGTGTTAATTGAAATAATCATAGCCATTTACTCGGAAGACAAGCATTTGTAGTTCATCTCACCAAGTCTTACTATAACTTTGAATGATATGTAATATATTCCCTCTCTTTCAGACTCGCCTTCCATTCCGAAGTTACTTAACCTTTTTGGTACGGACGTCATAATATTTGTGTCTCAACTACCTTTCACGATACTTCCAGTTGTGCTCCTTACAAAGTTTTAGTAGTCTTTTGAAAATATTATTGAGTGTAAACAGTTAATTAAATTTTATTGAGTATTACAAGCTACACTTGTAGTCTATGATGTCTCGGTATGAGTGATTAGGACTATGTCATTTTCCATATAGGTAATATGAATTTCAGTAATTATTAAGTAATTGAAAAAAAAGGCATATTTATTTAAAATAATATGTGTGTGTGTGTGTGTGTGTGTGTGTGTGTGTGTGTGTGTGTGTGATATAATATTTAAAATTTTATTACAAGATTCGTAAATGAAGGATGCATTTTTCTATATTGGAATCTGTAATGGATAATGTAATACATTAATTATAAAAACATAGATTCAATGAAAATATAGAATTACATAAAATTATAATTTAATACATTAATATGCTTTCGACATATATGGTTCTCCAAAATCATATTAATTTTTTCGATTTATTTAAAAAAAATTATATTTAACATCAAAATTTTTTATAAACTGCAATTATGTTTTATGTATACACGAGGTAATTTATAGCGATTCGTAAAAACGAAATTATTATAAAATGTAAACAAAGTGTGTTATTTACAAAATTTAAAAAATAAAATAAGTAAACATTTTAAAATTTAAATAATAAATAATGCAATCTTGAAAATGAATGGTGTACATGAAAAAATAGTTTTTCTCTTAAATAATTTTTAAATATATTGATAAAAATGTATATCACGAGTGATATATATTTTATTAACTTTTCATGGAAAAAAATTTTGAATAAAATTTATTTTATTTAAATTTCATTTATTTTCTGAATATAACTTTTTATGAACAAACATTTATTCACTTTATGAAAAATTACTTCATGGAAAAGACATACATTAGAAATTCAAGTAATCCGTTTTACATGATAAAGCAAAGAAAGACGATAAGAACAAATATTTTACGATAAATTTAAAAATCCATGTTTCATCAGTTACAGGTAGAAATAATATTAGTCATTTTTGTAGCATTAATTAGTTAACTGCAGAATTCATATGTAAACTTAATAACGGCTATACAATAATGAAAAGAGAATATAAGCAGACACATATTTATATTGAATGTATGTAGTATGAGGAAGATAAAAAATAAAAGAACCTAAAATTGAAATAAAATTCTTGTAATGCATATATACTTTATCTAGTAAAGTTATTAAATTATGCTAATTCTAATAATACGTTACATTAAACGCAATTATATCATTAACTAATTTTCTCTCTTTAATTATTTGCAGAATTTTCAATAAATTTTCAAATAACACGTAATCCTAATGTCTATACTGTTTATATTTATTATTTGAAACTATTATGTAAAATTATGTTTTTACATGAACTTTTTTAGTAGACTTAAAAAATTAATTGGATACGTTCCTCATTAATAATGACTGTAATAACTTTTTTTTTTATGGAGAATCATTAAAGTCATGTAATACATTTTTTTTTGCAAATTAGTAGTTTCTCTATTTAATATAGTATATTAAACAGAATAATTACATTTATTTCAGAATTATAAGTATATGATAAAATAATTGTATGGATTTAATAAAGTAAACAATAATCAGTAATGTTTCACAATCTTCTTTTAATGTAAGAGAATTATTATCAATAATTGGTTAATTAGGCGTAAATGAATAAAAACTAATTATTTGCTGTGTCTACTAAACGATGGTAAATCATCTATAGATTTATTAAAATGAATATAACTTTGTTAGCGAATCTATAGAACTGTTTTCTCTGAACTAGTTTTATTCAGAAGATATATCTTAACGGGTCATGAGGGTTCAGGAGGCCAAGCGATGTACTAATGAGATGCTGCACTCATCTTCTTTTAGTGTTCTTATTATGTTTCCTTAGTCCTACATCTTTTTCAATCATTCACTCTCTCTCTCTCTCTCTCTCTCTCTCTCTCTCCCTCTCTCTCTCTCTCTTATTTACTCAATTCATTAAAATATTTTTATCTTTTTGATGTTTTGATGAAAAATTTTTTTTGATTTTATGCTAAAGGAAAGTTAACAATTTTGCTAAAAAGAAGACAAATTACTTTTATATTGAACATGAGCTTTTTATTATAAAAACACCGTTATAAACAAAGTTATAACCACTAATAATGATTAGAGGACTGAAATAATATAATTGTTATAAATTTTATTTTTATTATTTTTATAAATTGAATGTATTAATGATTTATTTTATCGTGGATTCAAACGATTATTATAAAAAAACTATTATATGAATCTAATTGCTAAAAATATTATTTTCACCCGATGATAAAGTAAATTACTTATAATAAGAAAAGAGCATTTATTCTTGGTGTCTATAGAAAAATGATGATTTTTAAATTGATAATTATATGATATATGATGCGCAAATATTTATTCCTCGTTATAAATTAGCAATTTGTAAAGAATACTTGTTAAAAATAATCTATATTGTCCTCCAAAATCGACTAATTATATGTTTCACTCGATTAATAAACCGAGATGATTATTTTTATCTTATAGAGATAAGGAAAATCTTATATTTTTAATACAAAAAAAAAACAAGAAAGAAAGGAGAGAAAAAAGATACACAACAAGAGGACTACGGTTATTGGACCTTATTATTATCGATTGATTGGCTCATATTTTCTTAATGGCCGTCTCTTCAATAAAATTTATTATAAGATGGTATATCCATGACGACTGATAATAACTCTACGCATTTGTAACACATATATACATAGAATTAAAGGTACACAGCAGTACAATCGCCATAAATTTTAGTTTCGAATGGGACAGAAATTGCAACTACGGCAGACGCTCTCAATTCGCCCACGGAGAGAAAGGAGAGGACAAGAGAAAATGATCGTCTAAGCAGGACTAGGCCCCCTGCGGCTTTTTCTTAGCGGCTTCCTGATTTTCCGATATGCGCTTATTCGATCTGTGTAAGCTAGAGTGTGGGTCTCTGTGTCAAGAAGGTCACATGGGAGTGCGCACTATGAGAGTCCCATCAACCTACCCTCTCCTCGTCCTCCAGCTCCAATAGCTGGCGTCCTTCGCTGCTACTCTCTTCTTTTCAACTTTTACTCTTGTATCCTTCTCGCTCCGGTATAATGCGATGACTTCGCAATCACGTACCTCGGATCCTCTCCTTCTCCTATAGAAACAAGTAAATGTGTTAGCCTACCGTACATAATAGTGCAGACTTGAATACAACGAAGAGAGTAGAATGTACTTACTCGTATTTTAATCTCTGCGCGTTGGCGCGCGCGCGCGCGCGCGCGCGTGTGTAGTTCTATACGTGGGAGAGCATCTTGAGTTGCTCATCCCCTTACCTTCGGCCTCGCTCATATATAGCAGGGAACTAGAATTGCCCCGACACCAGTCTTCTTGTAGAGGATACACGAATCGGCGGTGCGTGTCCACTTGATCACGTTCAAATTTATATAGTTGAAATAATTTTCATATTCTGAAGTACTTAGTTTTTTTTTGTTTTTTTTTTTTTTTTGAATTCATAGCCATGGGCGTACGAAAGTGTTTGTTCATTCTCGGGTTGGCGTGCTTAACAATCGCTCAAGAAGATAGTGGACTTTTGGATAAGGGCTACCGAGCGGCATATCGAGTCTATGAAGACTGTCAACAACGTAACGTCGCTGTATCGGCATGTTTAAAAAAGAAAGCCATTACGTTCTTCGATAGGCTGGGAAGAATCGATAACTTACCTATAGCTGAAAACCTTGAGCTAGTAAAAGTCCCGGGTATTGAATTAGAGTCGAGGCTACTCTAGGAAGAACAAGTGGAGCATCTAGAGATGAGGTTCTTAATGACATCCTACTAGAGCGTATTTCATCATTGATGAACAGCTTCAACGTGCAGATCCGCTTACCGAAAACTTCAGCTACCGATCTTAAACGATCTATGGAAGAAGGTCGTGGCAAAATGAAGAAGATGATGGGAATGATGATGATGGGTATGGCTATGAAAATGGCGGCCTTAATACCAATTGCCATGGGTGTGCTCTTTTTATTGGCGGGCAAAGCTCTTATTATCAGCAAAATTGCTCTTGTTCTGTCGATGATTATCGGCTTGAAGAAACTTCTATCGCAAAAGCAAGGTAGTAATGATCATGGACACGGATGGCAGTCTGGCGGAGGTGGTAGTGGTGGTGGCGGTTGGGATAGAAGTCTCAAGATTTTGGATATGGAAGTCGCAGATCAAGACAGGGAATATGCGCAAAGTCTTGCTTATGGAACCGCGAAGCGACAATAAAAGTAAATAAAACGTGAATCATTAACGAGAACGACGATTTTATTAGCCTTAAGGGACGTTTTTGCGGTTATCGAATCAACAGTGACGTAACATACGAGACTGAGAACTGACAAACGCGAGTTTCTTCTTAATGTGAGATTTCTTGAATGGGTAATTTTCAAAATTGATCAAAAATAAATCTCGTCATATTCTTTATACTATTCCATATAAATGTGCCAATATTACATTTTAAAAAATGCAAGTTTTACATAACACATTAAAGCTTTAATAACGATGAATGGCTTCAGCAGAATTGACAGTAAACATTGTTTTATATTTTTCTAAAAAATTAATGCAAAATTACATTGCATCACCGTAACATTTATATTTAATGTACAATAGTGTAATGATAAAATATTTATTAATATAATGTTTTATTTAAACAAATTTTTGATATCGTATATTTTGTATTATCTTTCAATGTCAGAGTGGTAAATATTTATGTGACATTAAAATTGTATAATTTATGAAAAACATTTTTCTTAAAATTTAAATATTTTTTTATGGATTCAATTTAACATTTAATGGTGTAAAGTATCAAGAAAATGCACTATAATTACTATTTTCACCTTTATATGCTAATATAAAACTATCGGTATAATGATCTTGAATATAATTAATTCAGTGATAGAATATAAAGTAGCTTCGATATAATAAAATATTATTTTATATTAAAAATTATTATCGCCAATAATTATTTTTTTTTTTAAACAGATGTTATTTTTTTTAATTTCTTAAAAATTGGACTTAATTGGACTTTTATTAATGAAAGTATAAGAAATTCCTGCACATCTATTTATTTATTATAACAAATTATTGAATTTATATATTTGTATATATTGGCGCAGTTTATAGACGAAATAATGAGATCATGATAAATGTGAATATATTACTGATTAGCAAATTATTACAAATGACTACGTGTATTTTATATAAAATTAAAATTTTCATTAAAGAACATTTTAATGAACTTGGTAGCGTACTACGCGTAGACAAACATTAAGTAAGAAAATTATGTCATGTGCCAAGCGAAATCTTCTAGCATTTAATCATCATATGATTTAATAGCAGTGGATAAAAAAAGGACTATAAACAAAGCGAAACCAAAATTACAAACAGGAATAAATTGTATGCGTATAACAGTTCGAAATAACTAAAAATATTGTACATGATAATTTCATGGAAAAATACTCTTTTCTAAGAAATGGTATTCAAGTATGTAATGATAGGCACTTCTGTTTGACTCTATTATCTCCTCTATTTTATTTCCGTTTATGGCTTTTCATTTGATTTATGCTTTATCAGCGTATTACAGATGACGAAAATAAGGGGATAAAGTTTTCATTTAATGTTTTACTTATATTATAATATTCAAATAACTTAATTAATTTAAATTAAAACATTCATATACATATTATAGTATTTGATGGAGTCAAACAGTAAGATAATAACACTTAAATAATACTTAAGTAATACTTAAGTGAATTTATTTCATTATTAGTCTTTATATAATGGCATTACAAATTATAAACTAATTTATTTTCTTAATTTATTCGTTCTATTAATTTGAATAATCATAGTGATGTAGTTTTTTAAAATAATTATTTAAGTATTAATTATAAAATAAATTATTACAAACCAGATAAATAAAGTCGAAACATTTTTATCAACTTGCGTTTCTTTCTATAACCCATTTTTCATTCATTTCATTCATTTATAAATTTAATAACTTGTAATACTTTGATTACAATTAAAAGATAAGTATTCATTTTAATGATATCGATGCTCGAGACCAAGAACTGCGGCGAAGAGAGCGTAAAAGAATCCAGCGAGGGCCGCCGTGAACTTAAAAAGGATGAGAGTACCCACAAATGAAGGTATTAGGAACATGAACTTGAGCGTATATGCCATTACAATAGCCAATAGCGTTCGATTCATTTGTTTTAACTTCTTTTTCTTGCTTCGCCCCTCTCCTGTTAATTACACAACCAACTTTATTGGGTTTTCTGTCGCTTCATTTATTATTATTATGGCTATTACGATTATTATTACTCTTATAATTATTTTTTATTATTTTTATTATTGTTGTTGTTATTACTTCTTTTTTTACAGCATAGTAAACTAATTTTAAAACGTACTAATTAGAAATAGCGGGATTAATTTATTATAAATATTAAGCTATAGAGTCATTCTTCGATGGGATTTAGCATTATTATAATATAGCATAATAAGTGTGTTTGTGTGTGTGTGCGTGCGCGTGTGCGTGTGTGTGTGTGTGTGTGTGTGTGTGAGAGAGAGAGAGATAAATAATGACATCATAAAATAACAAGAGAAGAATAAGTTTAATTATATATACACACACACACACATCTGCAAGCAGATATTCGAGCACGCGCGCACACACACGTATACAAAACGTTAAGATGCAATTGGAGATTGTTAATAGGAGATGTAAAGATAACGATTCCATTAGAGAGTATTATTAGAGCTATTTAACATACTCCGTTTAAATAATTTATTGCTAATATTAAGTTCATACTCACTTTTAAATCATAGTTCATTCAATATTTATTATAATTTCTACTGTAATAAACAAATAACATATTGTAAAATCAAATATATTAATGACAAAATTATTATTATATAGAATTAAGTATATACTGACTTATACAATTAGTGATAAAAATATACTTTAAATTTGAACCTTTTTTACTTTATAATCAGCTAAATTAATTTAATTTTCATTTATTTATTTCTTTAATAACTAAATATAGCTTACATCATCATCATATAATAAATCCATCCCCACAAAAATATTTGTGTCAGTGCATAGTAATATTTAATATTTTCGTCATTGTTATTATTAAATATTAGTATTAAACAATTATAGTTTTTTTTTTAATATCCACTTATTAGATTTAAATTTATTATTTAAATATAAACAATAAATAAACCGAAAATGATAACACAAATTTCCATACAGTATTTATCAATAAAATTTATGTAAAATATAATTTTATATAATTCACCCAGTTCTTATTAATATAACATTAAAATACGGTTAGAGAGCGTTTAAAATTGTATATTTTAATTATTCTTTGCTTTGAAATTTTTAGTTTTATATACTATTGACAATTCTTTTACAAAAATCAATCAATATTTTCAGACTTGCCGTCGATATAGTAAATAACAACAACAACAATAATAATATCCTACTATACAATATTAATTATCACTTGTTTTGTTTATTATTATCATATTAGCAGAATTTTTTCTTAGTCAAATGTGTGAGTTTTTTTTTTTTTTTTTTTTTTTTGTAGACATAACATAATACATTTAAAACTAACCTGGAGACTTAAGCGCCGGTACATTGTAAAAATCATAATTTCTCTGTAGTGCAGCAGTGTCATTACCAAATCCATCCATAAATAATCTCCTCTGATAAACTAACTGTAATAAAGCCTTCTCAAGTAAATTCTGCGCCACATTTTGTTTATTCAATGACAATGTAGAGGCTTTAATTCGATACTTCGGTAGCAGAAGCATGAACAGAAAGACTAGATTTATGACTGACGATCTCATGACTTTTATTTTTTTTTCTCTCTATATTTCTTCTTTATAAGGCTTTGTCACTATATTATATATCTATTTATCTTACATGGTCACAGAATAATTGCTTTCCGTTGCGAAAAAAAGTCAATACTTTGACTCTTTTACGCATCGGTCGATGAGTCGTTACTCAGAAATAAAGAGAAAAAAACGTTATTGGCGGTCACACGGATTTTAAGGTTAAAAACGACATTACACCCTCTAATAAGTAAAGATAGAATAAAGTGCCATAAAATAGATTATTGATGTAAGAAAAATATTGCCACGTTGTTGAAAAGCGTTATGCAGCGAATGGAGGAAAAATCGAATGGACTGGCGAGCGGCGCGACGAACGACCGGGAACTAAGCGGTTCGGTCTCGATTCCACGGACAACCCGAGGGGGTTCCATCGTACTTTGTGGCACGCTTCAGTTGTCAGGAAAATCGACAGTCCGGAAAAAATTAGCCTTCAAGTTTATTGTGCGTGTAGCGCTATGGAGTTTCTTTATGAATGTTACGCTTATGTATAATACAGGCATCCATGATCTTCTCTTTCCTTTTTCATTATTCCTTTCTTCCACTTCTAGGCGTGAATCTAGACACATAAGCTTGCGGTTGACAAGTTGATTGTAAGATATTAAAAAGTGGATCGTTGTTAATTCATACTTGTCTCAAGACTTTCCAAGTTGACAAGTCAATTTAGTGAATGTCAATAATCATTGAAAAGAATGAGATGAGAATTTTATCTCTAAACTTTTGTGTTGTAATTTAAAAAAGATACTCAAACCTTCTTATATATGTATAAATAATTATTATAATTAGTTTTTACGATTATTGTATTAGCGCATTAGTTCGTTAAGTGGATTTTGTTAGATAGAATATACTCTGAAATTTGGAAAAAAACTTTAAATATATGTAAACAAAACTTATAGAAGCTTACACAAAATTAAAGATTATGTAAAAATATCAATATTAACTCTAATTTCAAATGTAATTTTTAAAACATTTTATTTGAAAATTAAATATACTTATGACTTGTTGTTATACTTTATCATTGAAGCAATGCGAGTTTATGGCTATTTAAATTTTGTCTAAAATTAAATTATTTAATTGATAAGGAAGTAAAATTGTTTATATTTTAAACAATAAAAGAATATAATATGGTAATCGAAGAAATGCTTCCGCTAGATAATATTTGTAATTTATCATGATTTCAATAAGTAATAATTAGAGTTGCATTAGCATTTTCATATTACCTGACTCGTACAATCGCAGTGTTGACGTATTAAGATTATAATTAGATTTCTAATCTATAGAAAATTTATGTTATCCATGTGAAGTGCGTTGAAATAATAATTTCAGATTAATTTTAATTCCTACTAGAAAACTGTGAATAAGAAAATTATCACATTACGCTCGGGCCAAACATAGCTAGTTAATTTTTGCATATAATATAAGGAAGCGTTAATAATCAAATGTCGACTTAATTTCATTGTAATTAATAATTATATTATCATCTCTAGATAAATTAGAATGTATAGAATTTAGTTTATTCCGAAAGGATATCCACGTAAAAGCAGTTTTGATATTGGGGCCATTGATTTAAATGGTCTAAAATAACAATTTTTATCTGTAATTGCCTTTAAACTAGTAACTGCGACTAACAACGTTCTAAATTTTTAAAATTTCTGCCAATTATGATTGACTTGATCAGTATAAGAAATGCCAATAAATCTCAATCGAGCGGAAAATTATCTCTCACCGTCAGCTGACTTTTAAGGGCAAAGCGTGAAAACAATCCAGTGAAATCGTTCACATGTACAATACAGATTCACATGCAAAAGATGAATCGATATTTCTTTTGTTACACATTTCACATTAATAGTTTGCATTGAATATAGAGATACAAAATACTTTCATATTGTCAAAAATGATATGAAGTTTTTTCTGCTAATATTTATTATCTCATATATCTTTCTATGATCATTTATATGGACTTTATATTCATATTCAAATATCTATGAATTAATTTATATGAATATATTTAGAGTACAGACATATTTTAAATCTAAACATATTATTTATATATTTTGAAATCATTTCTGCAATAGATAAAATGTTTATGAATTCATATTTGTCTTTTTAAATGACTTTTTAGATCATTCAAATATATTTCAAATATGGCCGAATGGAATATTTAAATAATATCTAAAAACATCTCTAAAATGAAGAAAATTTAAATAAATAATATATTATAAGATAAGACATAGTATCTGTCTATTACATAATATGATTATAAATAATATACATGAATAAATAAACTAGATATTTGACCGATTTAAAATGAATTGATAAATGTATCTAAAGAATTAAAATATATGATATATGATATATATATATATATATATATATATATATATATATATTATATACTGCAAAACAATAATCATATTCTTTGACAGCTAATAAGAAACAAAATGTTAAAAGTGGATGGAATTGTATCATATGGCTCGACGAATGAAATGATTGTGGTTACTCGATTATAACGCTTTCAAGTATAATCAAATGATATTATGAATATTCAAAATATATTGAGTAATTATTGTATGTATAATAGTAGTTTTATAATATCTTTTCCATGTGATGTCTTTTTATATAAATAGTCTATATTAATTTACTTTAAAAAAAGTATGATCAAATTTAGTGTTTACTTCAATTGTAATATGTACAATTATTCCTTTTTTACTTTTTAAGTCAGTAAAACTAAATTATTTGAAATTCCAAATATTCGAAAATACAAAAATTAGTTATTGGCAACTATAACTAAAGTTCCAAGTATTTTATTTATAACTCTTTTAAAATAGCTTATAAAAGAATCGTCCAAAATGATAATGGAAAATAGTATGATTCAATTAAGTAATAATATAAATGGATTTAATAAGAATTTCGTTGAAATGGATTAATATCAATTAAAAAAAATATCAAATTGACAATATGGTATCAAATTTAGATTTATAAAATTTAATCTACTTATATAATTAATTTATCCATTATCATTTAGAAATGTATTGGATTTCTATAAATATAATTGATTATATATAATTTTGTAATATAATTCAAATTTTAAATATAATGTCCACATTAATTTAAATTTAATTTAAACAATTTAAATCTATTTAAATAATATAATGTGAATCTTCTTAATCATATTAATAAATAATATTGATAAATATCTAAAAGTTTTTTAATTTAGTGGTAAACTTTTGTTGTTCTATTATTCTCCGATATCCATAAAATTGAATCGAGTCATATTTTATCAATTAGTTGTAGAAAAAATTGATAAATACAAAAGTTATTGATAAAAAAAAAAAAAAAAAAAAATCTTCCGAAATTATATACTCTCAATCCACTGTATATTAATAATAAAAATAACATTTTTAAGTAAGAAAAACATTTAATTACACTTTTATCTAAAAATTTGTATTGAAATGTTAATTTAACATAATATTACAATAATACACTGTAATTTTAGTTTTTTTTTGTATAATAAAACTAAAAATAAATTAATTATATTCATTAATAGTTTGTTAATTAAAATAATTAATGAAAGTCATAGTAAAATAAATTATATTTTGTTTCCAATATTATTTATACATATTTTATATTTATGTATATAATCAATGTTCCAATCTAATAATTTATTGAAAATTATTTATAATATAGAATTTTATATTTAAATATACTTGAAACAATACTGGTAGTTAATATTTATGATAAAGTATTTGAATATCAATGATAAGTTATGTTAAGATATAATTTAATAATTCGAAATACTTATATATATTATTTAAACTATGCGCTATTAATATGTATAAATCTAGTCGTACAAAATATTTTTTATTAACCAATTTGTGTTGCCTTTAAAGTATATAATAGGGATTGAGCATTGGAGATAATGATGAAAAAAGAAATTATTTGAGTAATCTAAATAAGTAAATTTCTTATGATATTACATGAAAGTTAATATCTGGGTTATATCTTTACACACGACGGCTCAATCTAATCGAATTTAATGGTCATTAGGTGTTTTTAGATCAAGTGTTCTTGCTACTTTCAAAACACGTATCAGTAGTAACAGGAAATTCAATATCAAAAGTTTTCTTGCAGAGACCGATGCTATTATTGATTTGAATACAATTTATAAGGAGTTTTAGTAGATTAATTATTGTATGTAACAAGATCACTTCAATCGCAGAGAGATGTCAATGTAAAAATGTAAATGCTGCAGATTAGTTAATTATATGCTTTTTATTCCTATAATTATATAGTTAAATCTGTAAGACTTAAAATCTTGTTTTATATGTTCAATATAGAATTTCAGGAATATAATTTACATTCTATTGATTTTATTCCTAAAATAAAATTATGGAAACCCTATAATATTTAAATATTTATTATGAAATAATAAGTTTTAGACAATGTCTATTATAAATATTATTAACAGAACCATAACAATAGAATTTGAAAGATTTTCTTTATTTAAGTGTATAAAATTATAGACGAAAATTTAAAAATTTATATCTTGTAATCAAATATTATTATAATTAAGTATAATTTTAATTATAAAATATTTATTTGTTATAAATTAAAATATAGATAATACAATAATATAAGATTTGTAAGTGTAAGTAAAATAGTTGAATTTTAATTCAATCGTTAAATTAACAATTTAATTATAATATCATTAAAAAATGTTTTATATGCAGTTATATTTAAATTGAATAGCATTCTGAAATTATCTTTAAATATAGCTTTGTGGTTTAATTTATTTCAAAAGAATCTATGTCTTAATAATCCAACCATGAAAGGGGCTAAATATATTATATTCAGAGTTCCATTTAGAATATACGTAATTACATTTTTCTAGTATAGGATATAAGTATTTCAGTTTTCACAATCTACGGAAGTATAGGCATGTAATATTTTTAATTCTTTCTTTACCATTAGCAAATTTAATAAAAAAAAAAAAAAATAATAAAAAGAAAAAAAAAACATAAAATTTAATCTAAAAAACATGTACTAAAAATATTTTTCATTTTATTTTTCAACATTAACAACTAATCGTAATTATCTTTGTCACATTAATTAATTATTTAATTTTGAAGAATGAAAAATATTATTTAATATTCTGTGTTCAAATTGAAATTATTCATATTCAAAAATATTTATTATTTACGATACAAAAGCATTAACTATTATTATGGTATAATTAATAGAATTTTTCCCATGATTTTTAATATCCTTTCTTCAACATTTGATCATCAATTAATGTCAATCAAGATTAAAAATTAACTAACTTAGACATATTTAATTAAAAATGTTGATGCTTTGAATGTTTTATTATATTAGATTTATAATATTCTAGTAAAGAAATAGGCTATTTGTAAAATTAAAAAAAAAAGAAAAACGCGTTTTACAGCAAGAGTGTATTAAATGTAATCGGAATAATTTAAATTATTTTCCTTCACTACCAGAATTTATACTATTTGATTAATATAAGAAATCAAAATATGCTTTAAT